GGACACGCTCAAACAACCCACATTGTTTCATATTTCCCCACCCTCGGGTCCCTCCTACTTGAAAACTGCATTCAGCATCACCGAAGCTTAAGAGTATGTAGTCTCGGGCGCTGCCCCGCTGTGAGGCAGCTAGTTTTTTTTATATTCGGGGGGGGGGGGGGGGGGTTCAAACTGACAAAAAATCTTTCTGAATTAACGATGCTAGCATTAATTATACATTACATTAGAGCATTTAAGACTGAATTTGGCACTACTAGATACAATGCCATAAATTACTATAAAACAGTCACAAACAAATCTTTCCCTGCCAGGGGTCCTTTAACTACACGGTCACTGCCACTCCCAATTTCACTACTTCCATATCCCCTACAGGTGATAAATACGACACCACAAGTTTGGCAATACTAGACTAGATAAGTCCATTCTAGCACGATAATTTTTGAATGCTCCAATGTCCTGCTTTAAAGGGGGCCCTGAAACACTTTAAGTAACCATAGAATAAATTCGCTGGATGAGCTTATTGCCCTCATGAATTCAACGCCGCGAAAATTCTAAGAATCAATCCAGTACGAACCAAGTTAAAGATTTGTCGCACGCTGCAATCTCGTTCTCTCTTTTCTCATCCAGACGAAAGCATTGGAAGCTAAGCAGGGAGGGATGGCAGGGGCAAAGAAAATAAGTCACCCGCACCTTTAGAACTTGCACTTTTTTTCCTTCGAATGCGCGGCCTTTTCAGTGTGATCATGTGCACTGGGTGGACAAGTCGCGACCTCCCGCAGCGATCTCTGTAACGACCGAGCGCGCCATGTTCAAATCATCCAATGGCTGATAGATGGACTTGCTACGAGTGATTTTTGAGAGTAGTCCATCATTTGTCGAGAGAAAAAAAGGCAATTTTTAGCTTACCGTTAATTTACTGAGAATTCCAGACCGCGTGCTGCGCTATATTTGGCTCACGTGTTGTCGGGAGTCTAGTACCCATCGGCAGCGTTTTCCGACCATGCTCAAAAAGTGTTGCAGGGCCCCTTCAAAGTAAAACTGGTATTCAATTCAAATCTTCAGAGCACAGCTGCCCTGACAACACTATCATGCAAGTCACTCTTAATGGTACTCTACACCTTAACCAGATTTGTAAAAACAGCCTGAATCATACGACCAGAATATGAGTCAACCCTGCCTTATTAGAATTCTCGTACTAGCATGCCTGTGCAAGTTGTAAGCCCAGGGGGGCTAAGTTTATGAATACTGACTTAAACTTTCTAACCTTACCAATTTTCAGTTGGCTATAGAGCAACATTTCTTGCAGCAGTGACAGCAAGTCTAGAACATGAGCTAGCTTTATTAACACTCATCCAAAAGCAGTAACCGACATTGCTACACTGAAGTGTGCAGTGAATTTCTGCACCACTTTAAGGGGCCTCACAACGAATTACAGGGTGGTAGGACTGACAATCAATTTTCCAGGCAGCATCAAGAAATTCGAATTTTTTTACACACGTTGGGAGGTGAAGCTCAGGCGAAAGATCATTTCCTACAGGTGTATAGAAATGGTTTTCCAATTTCCATGCCTGCTACACTTTTTGAGAATGTTCAGAGAACAATGTTGATCGGTAGTCAAGGCATCTAAGAAAATGCAAGCCAGATATTAGAGCGCAACATGCAGCCTGAAATTCACAAATTCTCAAAATCACCTAAAATTTGCTTTTTCTTCTTAACAAATGATGCAAGTGTAAAAAACCCTCATTACAGCCATTGTATCAGTCATTGGTTGATTTGAGCATTGCATTTGTTATTACTGACTGTCGTGGGAGGCCGCGACTAGTCCACATACGCGCGATCGTACTGAAAAGCTGTGCGCTCGGAAAAAAGTGAGAGAAGAGAGAATGCAATTGCAGCATGCAACAAATCTTTGCTGCTCCGCGCGTACAGGACGGATTCTAAAAATTTTTGTGGCGGTTGATTTGGCAGCCAATGAGCTACATTGGTGAAACCATTTCATGCCTACTTGAATAAGTATTGCAGGGCTGTTTTGAGGATTAAATTTTCATCACTGTTGGTATTGAACTATACTGCCGTGCAAGTGCCGAACCCCCAAAAAAGGTTGTCATTTTATCCCCCCCCTCCCCCCGAGAAAATCACCAATGTCAGACTACAGCAATACGTATTATTTTTATGACTAGAAAAGACTTCTTTTCATGGCAGATGTGACACTGGCCGGGCCTTTAGATCAGCATGACAAAAGTTGCCTGCACTATTCACGAGGTCCCAGAGAGGCCACAGTATTGTGTGCTAAACATTATAAAAGCACTTATTCAGGTACAAAAAAAAAAAAGATAAGTTTTGTAAGTTCTGTAAATAGAAAATGATACTAGGTGCATTGGTAAACAGCCACCACGAGGCAAGACTTCTGGTATCTCAATAAAAGGTGATTGGAACCAGCCACTGACACTAACAGTGAACAGAAAATGTAGAATGAAAACATTGTGTCTCGTCGTCTGGTAGCATTTTGAAAATTTGAAGACATTTTTGATCCCTGTTCTTGCGCTCCTCTCAGCATTCAACACTAGAAAAACAAAAAAAATTTTTTTGAAAAGTTGTACAAACAGAGCTACTTAGAATTCGGTGTTTACCCATCCATGCTCAATGCCCTCTGTGTAGGAGAGAAGCGGTTCACCCCCAGCTACGGCTTGATACAATTTTACAAGACATCGGCACTTCCACCTCATACTTGTACTGGTGAAACTCACTGTAATATAACACGGGCCAAAATGACCACTGACCTTGCCAATGGAGAACAAAGCTGAGATCACAAGCTGAACTACTTGTAAGTTACAGAAGCAATCAACTGCCACAGTTGAACCTCCAGTTGCAGCTATCTATAGGGTTCTAGAAAATAATGCCCCCCCCCCCCCCAACACACACTGCTGACTGCATCCACACTTCAAGTTGGCAGAGAGGGCGCTTCAACTTTGTGATGTCAGTCTCCCCATCTTTTATCCATAAGGAGCAGCTCAGGAATCTTTGAAAGACAGTGAAAAAACCACTTTGGTGGCTGAGTAGTACAGAGTACTTAAAGTGGTAAGACTGGCAATTAATTTTCCAGGCAGCATCAAGAAATTAGATTTTTTACACACGTTGGGGGGGTAAAGCTCAAGCAAAAGATCATTTCCTACCGGTGTATAGAAAGGGTTTTCCAATTTCAGTATCAAAAACATCTGCTTTTGCAAGCCCATAAAAAGCGACGAAGCCACTTCAGCTTGAAAAATGAAACTTCACAATAGACCGCTCTTCGTGTACACTACCCAAAGCAACAGCTTTCACACAGCCAAAAAACAAAAATTTGTCTTCAATATCTCCAGGATATGTTTCACACAATTCCAAACTGAACCCAAGAAAGAAATTGAACCCAAGGCATCAATTTTTCAAACCTATAAGACCAATTCGCTCCTACTGCACAGTCCTGTTTCCCAGACGCAAAAACTGCCATACACGAGTGTACTTTTGCATATTGTCATTCCTAACAACTGCAACGTAAGCAGTATGGCTTCAAGTCAACATTGTGACACAGGTCGATTGCCACTAAAGAATTCACTGTACTGCCAGTGCTCAAACCATTAGAACCTAGGGCACAAAGCCTGTATTCAGAGTGAGATGTCACCACCATATCCCTTTTGCTATGCCTACTGGTTGGCTAGCTGAGGGACAGGTGGGCAATTACTCGTTTCAGACGTTCCACAATTTTCCGTGTCGCACGAAGACTGCTACTGAAAGTCTCTCTAAATATGATACATGTTAAATAATTTTCATTAATGAACTAATGTCAAAAGTGTGCAAAAGGTTGATTTAGGAGACAGTCAATATTTCCGTTAACCATTGCAACCAGAGCTTAAACCCTTTCAATTGACATGGCCCACATATATACAGAAGACCTCATTAGGACTCCGCAATTTCTATCTTCTGAAGTGTTAAGTCAGCACCTCCTTCATTTTATCAATGCCAGCCAGATGTGCCCGATGCAGCTGTTCACCACCCTAAACTCCAGCCCTTTCCTGCTCCTGCCCATCGCCTACCCTTCATCAGTGCTTTGCAGTATGGAGGAGAGGGGAGAGAGACCATGTAGTGCCTCACGACGAAAATCATGTGAACGAATTTTTTGTTCAGTTGCATACAGATCTGTGGAGCAGCTTTTTGCATTCCTCGTGTTCATAATGTTGGTTGTCATGCTGGCTCTGTAAAAGATGCAATGTTTTGAGATAGCGTGTCACCGTTCGTGGCGCTACCAATGGGGAAGCGTTACTGCAACGTAAGTGCATGCACAGACAGAGCACTGTGATGCAGCAGTGGTATTGCTTCGAGCCACAAAGAAGGAGCCCAAAGGAACAAATCTGACAGACGTACGATATTGAAGTGGGAAACACGTCTGTCGCTACTTTGGGAGAAAGCGCTAAGAAGCACTTAAAGCACAATAAGCGCGACCCCTCATATAGCGCCGCACCACGACCACTCCCTAAATTAAGGCAGAATGACTGCTCCCTTTGAAAAGCAAGCATTTGCACTGGCATTGAAAGAAATAAAGGAGGCGTAGATTACACGCAAGACCACTTATCAAAAATTCATACAACCCACAGTGGGACCCGCAGGTGTGCTGTAATAATTCGCAGGGTCAAAGTGGGCTTTCATGGAATCCTCCACATATACTCGCGATCACGCCTCAGTACACGCTAGGGGTCGCTCACGGAGAAAAGTCTATCAAGAAATATTTCCGTGCTACATGCCTAACGATGTGTCGGAGCGAGTAGCAACGCAGTTAAGGTAGCGGTCTCATAGGCTCCAGAATAGTGTAGGCCGCTGTCGCAGACCCAGACTGCGCAACGCAGAAAAGGCAGGCAGGGTCCATTCCCTCAGCTGCAGCAGTGGAGGCTGATCCACGTAGACGCCTGGGTGGTCGCCGATACATCACATACGTGTCGCGTTCTTTGTTGAAAAGCCAGTGGCCAGTATTCCCGCGGCGACCATGTCATGCCGCTTTTAGCAAACAGCATTTTTTTTTATTTGAACAAGATAAATGCAAAGCCGTAACCATAACGCGAATCTTCCGTGTACAATGCCAGCTGGAAAACCTCGCAATGAAACAAAAATTACGTAATAATCCATGAGCCCACGGAACAACGCAAGTGTTACATCACTAACCTTCAAAGTGACTGGAAATAAATGCGCATAGGTCGAGACTTCGTACAGTACCAAACTGCCACCTCTGGGGGATCGCTTGGCAAACTGCCACCTCTGGGGGATCGCTTGGTAAGTCTTGCTGAAACTCCGGCCTCAACCTGCAAGAAATGAGACGTACGGATCCCTACACTCAATGCGCCGTCGTAGCATGCAAATCATTCTACCCAGTTTATTTTTTTTTTCTACACACATGGCACGCGTACTTCTTAGCTCACTAACACAGGCCCAAACATGCGCACGTTGGGGTGTTCAGCCACTCCTTCCCTCGGACAAAATCCTCACTATGCCTGGCGATACGATTATTGCCACGTATGCCGGTGGCGACAAATGCTGGCACACTATCGCAAAATGGCGTGAGAGGCTACGCAAACCACCGCCATTGCACACTGAAATGGCAACGTTAGGCTTAATGAAGAGATCAACTATCGGTCTATGGCGTTCGTATGGGCGAAAAATCAACAGCAAGCACAATTTCGCATAGAGTCAAAAACACTTAGGCAGCATAAATAACCTCACCACGCCTCCGTAAACGGCAACCGGCGTAGCTGCACAATGAAGCGATAAAACAGAACACAAAGAAACACCCCTTCCGAGGCTGCTTTCGCATCGCCTAGCCTACCGTTTGACGTCTGCTTGTTTTCAGCGTGGAACGTCCGGCCTGGGAATCTTCACCGCATGAATGCCTGGAAAAAGCAATATCCAGAGCGATTTCTTAACACAAAAAGCGGCCGTACAGACCCAATGCCGACGACGAGGAACCGCTACAACACGCTGGCGCGAGGGCTAAAGCTAGCAGCACAGAACACCTACCAGTAGCAGGGGCGCAGGTGACGCAGGCCAACGCCTCCTCAAGAAAGATGCCTGCGACCTCAGCCGAAAAGCTAGTTCCCGGCCCTTCCTGTTCTCTCCACCTCTGCTGTTCAAACAGTGTCGGCGTTGAGCACTCACTGCGGCGGCTGCTTTAAAAATTGCGGCCTTTGAGATTAAAGTAATGTTTACTGCCGTTTTGAAGGCAACACAATTGTGTCCCAGTGTTGGCGTCACTTTTGAATCCAATGGTCTCTTCGTTTTGGCTGCACCGGCTGAACCAGTTCAAAGGGTGCAGCACCTTCGTCCTCGTTTTGCCGGAGCAGCGCGCGCCCTCTGTCGCACCCTCTGCACTGGCTCCCTCGTTTTGTCTAGGTGTAAGCCTAGTTCCTGACGAGTTCTGTACCGGCGTGCACGCACTCCAAAGCAGGTGCAGAGTAGTGCAGCATGGCGGGCGTCCCCCCAAGGCCAGAGCAGACGACGTTGCAAATAGTTGTTCAGGGCGTTCAAAAGGAAGTTAAGGCACTTCACAATCCCGACGGGTCATTTATGACGGACGCCAACGGTTACGTCTATGAGGCATCAGGTAAGTCAGGCTGCATGCATTGCCAAAAAACGTGGTTAGCGGCCAGGAGTCGTAGTCGGTCAGCAAACAGCCTCGTAGCATTGCTTATGCTATGTCGGTATTTTTAATCTTGGTTTTCGCCCTTGCAGACGGCAAGCGCGTTACGTTGCGGTTCATGGCAGGGAATCGTGAAAATGACCCCCCTCCGGCACAACCGCCGACGCCTTCTCCTGCCTGCGACGGCGACGTTGACAGCGATGGGGCTTTAGCCGCATTTCCAGCAGCAGCCGCGTCGGCTGAAGATGTGGAAGAGCTTTGGAGCGCCCGAAAAACAAGGTTCTTCATCGCCAAATACTCGGAAATGAAGGACTTGGTGGGAAAAACCAGGGCACTTCGGTATGTCATCCTATGTCCAAAATTATTTGCAGCTTTTTATTATTCCGTTTCACTCTAGGCAAGCACCAACAAGATAAGGGCGCATGAAGTTCACAATGGCGATGGTTATTGTTGCCTACATTTTACTGCCAGCAATTTACATTTTACTGCCCCCCCCCACTGAAAAAAAATTTTGGCTATGCGCCTGACTGTGACATATACGTTTACATATACACACAAACAGTATGTATAGTCACGCACATATATACACAACGAAGGCATTCGTAATGTTTCATTAAGTCAAGTGATCTTCAAAAACAGCGACGGTGCTTTTGTGTTGGGCATTGCACAACCGCTGTCTTGCCGAAAAGGTGCAGCACCTCCAAGCTCAAGCCATGTTGCAAGTGTAGTGCTGCCTTGAGAATTTGCACTAGAGGGAATTGCATGTTGTTATTCTGAGGCACATCTCTAGCAAGTCTCGCCCTGCAGTCCTTGTGTCTTCACTGTCTGTCCGCATTTCTCTCGCACTGCCACTTTTCAAGATGGTGCAGCTCATTGTTAAAAGAGATATGCTTCTTGACACGTGCTACCCTATCTTTGAACCTAGACTGCGCCGTCGTGTCAGCAAACAAGGTTGCGCAGCTGCATGTTTTACAATGCAAAGACAGGTTAGAATATGGCTGTCTCCTTAGTGAAGCTTTATGATCCAAAAGAGTGATTTACACAATGTTCAACTTCTCCAACATAATGCTTCCCGCACAAAAAGAACGTTCGCAGTTATCAGAAGTGTGTGAATAGTGAATTTCGGAACCTAATCAAGTAAGAGTCAAATAGTAATGGCACCAAATAGAATACAAATAGTAATTGAATACTGTTTGAATAGTAAGTAGACCATTTTCAAAACAGCCTTAGAACAGAACATTTTATTTGAAACAAATAGTCACAAACTTTCGACAAAGGCCATTACAGTCAGTTTGAATCTACTCAAAATACCACAATTACGAAAACTAAGGTAATCTCGTATGCAGCAGGAACTAGAATATTCGTAACATTTTGTAATTGTAGGTTCAACTACGGCATTGACTAGCGTTATCAACGTGAGACTTTGTCACCTCACTTTAAATAAAATTGGGACACAAAAACAAAACAATTTACAACCAAACATTGCAGATACAACTAAATATGTAACGGAGCAGATCAACCCGTCATCACAACATGGCCTGCGCACTAAAAGCGGATAACAATGGGCGTTGAAATTTACATCTGCAAGAACAATTTACGCAAACGCAAAACTTGTATCTGTTGCTAGTCGTGAAGCTGCAAGCACTCGTAGTTCCCACCTTTGGTTATTACAAGACGAAGACAGGAGCTGATAAATGCGATACAGCTAAAGTGCAGTAAAAATTGAGCAAGAATGGAGCTTTCAGAAGCGCATTCATTCGACAATCAATATAGTGTAGGTAGTCTTGCAAAAGCTTGGGCTGCGTACAGGTCACATTAGGGATTGAAAGAATGACTTGTAGCTGTTTCGTTGTTTTGGGGTTCTCCCGCCAGTGCCGATTATTAAAAGAATATTTGTTACTTAGAATATGTGCAATTCGATTCGACTTAGGAACCGAATACAGTGCTGTTTGATTCATTATCCAAAATTTTCGAATAATCGAACATCCCTAGCAATTATCCCTGAAAGCTACACATATGAAGTACTAAGGAAAGGTTCATGTGCTACTGCAAGACTTGGGTCACGTTACGTCGCTTCCTTCTTTCCTACTAACTGTGCTTTGCTTTTTTGTTTAGCACAAGAAGGCTTCTGTGGAAGAAGTTGGCTGAGGCCATCAATACGGAGTTCTTGTGCAACGTGACTGCCACACAAGTGGAAAACAAATGGAAGTCGCTGGACAGAGCATATAAAAAGTCAAAAAAAGACAACAATTCTTCAGGTCACCACCGTGTGAACTGTGAATATGAAGAGTAAGTTACGATTGTGTCTTCATATCTTCAGTGATTCTCATAGTGTCTATTACAGAGAGCTGGCAGAAGTCTTGGAAAAAGAACATAGTGTAAATCCAAGGCTGCTCTTGGAGCCTGGAAAAACAATCCTGCCTAGTGCAAGTCCAGAGTAAGTAAAAATTACTTAATTTGTGCTGTAGCCTGGAAATGACATGGCACCTGTACAATTACTTTCAACAGCACCAGCATCACTGAAGCACCTCAAGATGCAGCAGTCCCAGTCGAGTGCAACACAGCATCCAAAGTTCGGAGCAGCACAACGCCAAAAAGGAAGCGCCAGAGTAGGTCCCAAGTCACGCCGCTCTTGGAGGCATTAGAAAAAATGCAAGCTTCGAGAGCTAAGCAAGAGGAGGCAGCAGTGAAACAACTGGAGGAAAGAAAAAAATGGGAAGAGGCAAAGGCAAAGCGGCATGATGAGCGCATGCAGCGATTCGATCGGTTGATCGACGTACTCTCAAATAAGGACGGGTTATAATATGGGCAATAAACTTTTATAACACTAGCAGTGTCTACTCCATCTAATTTGTTAAAAAAAAACATTGCTTCTAGACGCGGCACCCCACTTCGCAAAACATTTGCACACTGAATAAATCGCGAAGCAAAGATGAACTTCTAGCACTGTTCCTTTGCAATGAACTCTCGCAGAGACTGACTGTAGCCTGGCAGACTGCAATCAAAATCTCCTTCACTTTCATCATTGCCCACATCTTCTTCTTGGGGAAGCGTTGCAAGTTCCTCAAGGAAGTCCCTTTCATCGTTGCACATGTTGTGTAGCACACACGCAGCCATAACTATATAGCAGCACTGTTGCACACTTTTTGCATCAACAAGGTAGAGCCTCCTAAAACGCTGTTTAAGCAGGCCGAAGGTGTTCTCAATAAGCACTCGTTGTTGACTGTGTCGTTTATTGAAGCTCTTTTTCCACGTAGGAAAAGAACTTCCATTGTCCTTGAATGGGGTCATGAGCCATGGCATCAGTGGATATGCACTGTCACCCAGTATATAATTGTCTTCACATTCCTGAATTGCGCGTGCAAAGAAGGGGCTCTCCCTCAGGACACGGGCGTCGTGAACCGAACCTGGAAACCCAATAAACACGTTCAGCAACTTGTTCCTGTCGTCGCAGATTCCTTGCAGGATTATCGAAGGCCACTTTTTCCGGTTGAAGTAAGACTGCGTAGATTCGCTTGGAGTGAGTATCCCGATGTGTGATCCATCGATACAGCCGATGGTGTTTCTTGGGCCCTTGCCTTTACTTTTGGCGAGGAAGCCGTTCTTTATGCGGGTCACTTCCGCGCTACTAGGCCAGCAAATTATCTCATCGCTAATAGCGTGTAAGAAGTGAACGACCCGTGTCACACAAACATGAACAGACGACTCGGTAACATCGAATTTGTCGCCTATGGCGTACATAGATATTTGTGAGCCTAGGTACACAAGCGCTATGAGGCATGTTTTTTCGGCACTGATTTGTTGGCGGCCTTGCACTGCCCTTGGGTAGAAGGCTGAAGTCTTGAACTTGGCCCTGAAACTATCAAAAGTCTCCCTGGACAGCCTGAAGAGGCGCTTGAATTCATACTCATGGTACCTGCCGATAATGCTTTCGTACCCGGGTACACGGTTGGCATCGTCGCGCACCAACGCGCACGCGACCAAGATGCACGCATCGTCGTACTCATCGTCGCAGTCACTGCAAACGGCACCGCTGACGGAATCGTCGTCGCTGCTCGAGTCCAGCAATTCCATCGCAGTCACAAGAAGTGCCATCACGGCCGTGTATTGATCGGACAAGGCGGCGGAGGCGGCTATTTTAGGCTTACACTACAAGGTGTTCTCCGGCCTGCACTCACGTCAACTCACGCCTTCGTTTTGGCTGTAGCCGTCGCGCGCTAGTGTCGGCTAGTGCCGAGGCGTGGTTGAGGCTGCACCTGCACTTGCTCGACCGGCGCTGCACGCTCACTGCACCGCTTGGCACCGCTTTTTCTGCACCTGCACTTTTCTGAACTAGTGCAAGCCAAATCGAAGATTCCTCAACAAAAGTAGTAGTGTTGGCTGCGAGCGCTTCTTGCGGAGAAAGCACTGAACCACGAGGAACCTCCCATTCTCAGGGGCAGGCCTGTGATGTCGCAGGTCATAGAGTTTCTCAAAATTAACTAGAGGCACGGAGGAAGGAAAAGGTTCCTTCCTCCGTGACTAGAGGGCACTTTGGCGCTGCGATCGTTTAACGACCATGGGAATGATGGGTAGTACCACGGAGGAAGGAAAAAGGTAAGGAGAGGGCATGCCCAGCCAGCGCAGGGCGTAAAAAGTGTGGCGGAAATGACATCATGGCGGCCATATTCAGACGGCACAATGGCGGCGTTGTTATGGTTACGTGTTGCGCAGTGGAGCTGGTCTAGCAGTGAGCGGCTGCGGCTGGCGGCGGAATGTGTGCCTCCCCAGGTCTCGTGCTGAGCTGTGGCGGACAATATCTGTGCTCTGCGCCGCGTTATTGGTTACGCAGTGTTCTCCTGGCTGTTACATTACTCTTAGCAACGTTTACAAATCCCTTTGTCCATCACGGGGTTTCAACAGTGCGTAGAACAAGTGCATATCAATGTGTCGTGCGGCGGATGAAGCAGTTAGTGTTCAGCGAAATGGCGTTGGGCACCATGACGAAGCTGAATGACGACGAACGCCTTGCAGGTCAGTGACGGTTGAGCAGTGCTCCTGCTTGTGACAACGGACGACGCTGTTGAGCCCAGCAAGACGCCGTGAGGACCATGTGCACATACGTAGTTTCGTGTTGTGTGTGTACAGTAACAACTTGCATGTGCGTATTAAAACACCTTTTCTGTTCCGCTTGGTACACTCTCCACCAGCATTGCATGTAATCTCAACGTAACAGCAACCACGTTCAACTGTCACTAGCACCGTGCTCAAAGTCACCACGGTCGCAGAATGCTGACGCAGGTGAGTTCCACGCGGAACACGGACACAGTGGCAGGACGCTGCGTCAGTCGCGTGGCGGAATACAACCGTAGAAGGCGCACGACCGATCGTGTTGTCTGTACAGTTGCTGAATTAATGACGTGAAAGCACTCGCCGTTGTCAGTGCATCTAGCGCGCGTTCTCTCGTAGTTGCTTCGTTGTCGGCGAGCTGTTACTCCCTGTTATTACTCGGACGAAGCGATTTCGTTGAAGCTGTCCCGCTGGCTCTGAGTGATGAGCTCAGTTCCATTAGTTTCGGATCGTCACGACACACGCGCTGCGCAGCCCACGTGCTTTCCGAGCCGGAGAGGGAGTCGCGCCTTCTGCTTCGCATTCATTTGTAAACAAAAGAGGAGAATTTGCCTACTCAATATGGCCGACTTCCGGCTTCATCGCGGACACACATTGCCTAGTCTTCGTACTTGCGGGCGGCGAATCGTACTTGCGGCTTTGTTTACTGCTGTGTTTCGGTTTTGTTTTGAAAGAAAGAACAAACCCTTTTGAACTTAGGGACTTGATTCGAAATAGCAAGCTTAAAAGAATAAGGAGAATAAGGTTGTGAAGCACAAACGGTGAACATTTGCTAACTTATGTTGTGGTGAAAAAACAGCTCTAGGCCACACGAACACACACGGAACCAGAAACAAGTATTGTGGGAAACTCTATGTAGTACACTCTAGTCTAGACCAAGGAGGATACATAAAACTTGCTGGAGTGGAAGGGGCGCTGTGCGAGTGACGCCAGCCGCCGCCATCTTGCCAGTGGCAAAAAGCGTGCTCAGCGCCATGGCGAGCTGCTGATTTCGTCCGTTCTTGTTTCACCTTGTCGGCATGTAAGACAAATGGTTTACAATAGTTGCCTCTTGCGTCGTTTACGGATGTGCCAACAGGTTGAAACAATGTTGTGGCCTCACATTCCACCTGTACGTACACGAAAACGTCTTCGACATAGCCATTCCGCGCTCGTTACAAAAGGGAGCTATAGCTGACGCGATCTAAGCGTGCAAAACATAATAGTCCGGATTCGTTTTACAGGTTTCCTAAAGATCCCGTAACGCGGAGCCTCTGGGAGTGGGCCGTTCGCCGTGAGAAGTAGAATGCGAAAGATTGAGATCACTTTGCTCTGTGCACTTCGCGCCAGAGTGCTTTGACCACCTCTTTGACATTGAAGGGAAGCATGTGAAATGGGGTTATGAAGTGGCATTGAAGGCACTTCAACGTGAAGAAGGGTTCTGGCTCGGAAACAGACTTACGAAAGTCCATGTCCAATGGGAAAAGCAAGAAAATGAAGGTATGATATGCTGTACAACTGATAGAGTGCCTTAGTTGCCGACGCTTTGGACTTCTGCGAACAAAAGCTAAAGCTGCCGCAATTCAAGGGTGCCAGCACAAGATCTACGTTTATTAGAACTTTTGATCTCTTGTTTGACATCTTAAACTCCAGGGACCCGCTGGCAAGGTCGTACAAAGCGCCCCTTCGGCAGGGGAACGAAGCATTCTGGAAGTCGTTTTTTGCGGAGACTCGAGCGTACATAAATGGGCTGAGAGATCCGGCAGTGACAGAAGGACTGAAAAAAACACGGATTCATTGGTTTTTGGATACGCATGGCAAGCACGGAAAGAATGTTTGACAGACTTGTCAGCCAGGGTCAGCTGAAATGCTTACTGACACACAAACTCAGTCAAGACTATGCCGAAAACTTCTTTGAATCAATACGTGGATGAGGCGGCCATAACAACAACCCAAGAGCTTCGCAGTTTATGGCTGCATACAAGCGTCTATTGGTTCAGACGAAAGTCACGTCTTCAAGTTCTGGACACTGCTCCCAAGATGTTCTCTCCGTATTGAATGCAACGACTCCTGCAGCCATGGTAGATCCAAGAAGCAATCTCACTGACATGCGCTAAGCCTGCAGTCCTGCAGCTCGATGACCACGACAATACGCATCGCATTAACTAGCCCGAAAGCTTTTCTGCTTTTGTCAATTCCGTGGTGCCATACATAGCAGGCTTCATTGTTCGAAATGTCGAACTGCAACTACCTGTGAAGAGTGCATAGCAGCCATGCACTCAGATGAGCTGACACCTTTAATTAAATGTAAGAGGCGAGGTGGTCTTGTTTTACCGTCGCGAGATGTCATTAGCCCCTGTAAAGAAGTCGAGGACTGAGGTGGCTACAGGCTGAATGTGATTCCATCACAACGGTGAAGTCAAGAGCAAGACACCTCATCCTGAAAAATCTATGAGCTTCCTCCGAGAAAAACTGGTTCCATAAACTAGAGCAGCACGTCCTAGACTTTGATACGCTTGATAATCAGGTTTACAGTTTGTGCCGGCAAATCGCTGAACAATACATAAAAGTGAGGATACAACACATGACGAAGGAAAAAAAAAACCGAGAATCGGTCAAAAGTAAGGTGGGACCACTTTTGACAAAGGCAATAATTTTCAACCACCAGTAGGGCACCTATGTTTTCGATGATGTGTTTGCTTTAGACATCGCTATTTAATGCATATGCACTTCAATTGAGTTCCCTACATGCCACTTGGCTGCGTACAAGTCGTAATAAACATTTACAACCAGAGTTACTTGTTTTCGTTGCTTTATAAACACACGAGTCACTTCACCCGCAGCACGATGAAGCATGAATTCGCAGCGCTCGGCTCTTTTCTGCCACTGGCAACATGGCTGCCGCACGCTCGACGCGGCTTCACTCTCTCCCGTAGCGGCGCATAGGCAGCTTCCACTCCAGCAAGTTTTATGTATCCTCCTTGGTCTAGACTCGCCGTGGTCGATATTTTTGCCCTCTATGGCCATCGCAGGAACTTCAGAGCCGCGCGCGCCACCGTCGGTCGTGCCGTCTTAAGTCGTCTGCTACCTTGTGCCAGCGTTATAACTCGCAACAATGGCCCTTCCGCCCAACTACCGGCAAACCCAGATTGCCGCTGCGACCCCGCCTGCACCCCGTAAGCGATGCAACATGTCTTCCATTTTTCTTGTGCTCAGTGAGGCAGTAGCCGGCACAGCGGTGTGTCGGTCTCACTGCTTTGTGTGATGCTAGCTTTCGGTTAACGACGTCTAGGAAGGGCTTCGCTCGGGCCCGTTTCTTTAGCGAGCATGACAAAGAGCAGCTACTTGCCACTCTGTCTCTACGCGCTACTTGCGATCGCCGCTGGATGCTCTTTTTTTCTCGCGGGAAATGAAGGGAGAAATGAGTGCGCAGGAAAATCGATACATATATTTGTAGCGGCAGTTTTCGCAAATGCCAAGTGGTGTGGGGAATTCGTGATGTCTTATTTTTTGCCTTTTTTTCCCCTTCTACAGAAAGGCCTCGGGCGCAAGGCACAACTTCGAATTTAAGCTCGCCGATGGTATGTGCTGTTTTCTCTCGTTATATTGTGAAAGTATCTTCTTGTAGTTAAGTTTTGAAGCTGCGCAATCAAATGAGAGAAAATAATGTCATCTTTTTTGCTGTAAACCAAGCAGTAATAATATTTGCTGCGTTGTGCTTTCAACAAAGCCGTCTCATCGTGCGCCTTTCCTGTTTTTTTTCCCCTGTGTGTGCCAATTGTCTCTCCGGTTTGTGTCATACGGGACCGTGATTTAATTTCAACCATCCTCGTACTGCTGGAGCGTACATTCTTTTTATCCACTGCAGTTTGTGTGCGAAAATCTTAATTAATGCTGTTCGCTAGTAACTAATAATTAGCCCACAGATATCCCCTCTGTTTCATGATGTTCTCCTGCTAACTGCATACACTGTTTTTACTCATGACTGAGCATCTTGCTATCTGCAGCCTTCTTCTGCCAACAGCAGCCCTTTCGTGCCATCCCCACATGGGCACCCATCATTCAATCCACTCAAGTTGGGATCACGTGGCGTTGGAGGCGTAAGTGTTGTTCGTGAGCACACTCGTGGATTTGCCTCTCCTCTGTAGCACCCCTGATTTGGTCGTGGTGTACTTGCTGACGTACAGTATTCACCACATCACTATTTTGGTGAATATCTGTCTTCCTTATCGTGGAAGCTATATTCACCATCTTTTGAATGACACCTGTAGCTTTGGTGCTCAAGTGCATACGATCACACAAAGTTACCTTAATCACTTTTCTGAAAACAAATCCCTCACCATAAAACATAGTGCATAGGTCAGTTGGCGGTGAGCATGTCTGCAAAATATGATGCATCTGTATGATGGGAAAACAGTCTGCATTTTAAAGCACAACTTTAAGAGCCCTCTCTCTCGAAGGAAATGCACTTGAAAAGAGAAGTAGTGTGCTTGCATAGTAAGCACTGCTTAGAATGTCAATTACGGTGGCCTGTGAATTAGGTTCTTCGTCCAATATGCACAGCCGACAACACATTTAATGTGTAGCAAAATCATGCACCATGGTACACGGGCTTGACATGCCATGCGAACCTTTCATCATTCTTCATTTGTTATCGTTGACCACTGAATGCAAACACATTGTGCATCTGCATTCTTCTAAGCTTGTACAATTGCTGCAAAAGAAAAGACTTAAGATGCGATATCCCTTCACTGCTTTTCTTTGCGGTGGCAAAAGAAATGCCGTGCATGCTTGGAATGGCTTCACCCCTCGGAGCAGTTATTCAAAGGAAGGAACTCTGCTTGACCTGCAACCTCTAATGTGCTGCTACACCTACGCTCCCTCTGATACATATTTGCAGCTCTCTAACATATGTCTCGCAAGCTCATGCCCTCCTTGTTTCTCACCTCAGCTTATGGCGCATGAATGAGTAATGAGAAGTACGTGCATGCAAAATAACTTCTGCTGATTTGCTTTAATAGGCTTCTTATATTCTATCTCTGTGTTCTCTCCACAGCAACCGAAGTAGACAGATAAAAAGCTTTATTAAAGTCCTGAAGGGGAGGTTCATGGTTCTGCTCCCACCTAGGAATGGAGAGACTAGCCTCACCGCCATTTGTGGGCCCATGTGACAGTGAGGCCCCTCACCATCACATGGGCCTTCTGAACAGCCTCGAGTTGTAGTATGACCGGGCTCTTGATCATGGAATGAAATTCATATTCAGAGAATTTTCGATGCTTTCCCTGTAAAGAGGAGCATCTACCGAGCGTGTGTCTCAACTTTTTACTCTGTGATCTTGACAACCCCGACAAAGTACTGAAATCACTGTAAATGTAGAGGCTGGGGTATGTTCCAATCTGAAGCATGCAAAAAGAAATTGACTGTGGGCTAGACAACTTTTTTCCTGTGGGGGTAGTTGCAACCAAAGGTTTAATCTACTTTGTGAATGCTCTGCTTTATGAAGTTAGCCCACATATTAAACCACAAATGAAAACATAAAAGTACTGGCTGAGTGTTTTTTCTTGTTTTTAGATAAGGGGTGTGAAATTTAAAAGTGGCCTGTATTTTTAAAGGAGCAAATTCGGTGGTTTTGTTGTCTGTTGTCTAAGAGATTTTCCTGGTAACCTTCATTTGAAACAGGTACAGAACACAGGCAGAACTGTCATGTACAGTGTCAATTTTTATGAAAGGGAACACGGCAACGCGTGGCCTGCGCGCTCCGGCGGCTGCTCGCAGCGCATTCAAGTGGGAGCGATAGCAACCACAGTCTCTTTTCGTGTTATCTCACGGCACATACCCAGCGTGCTGCCCTTTATGCCGAAAGTCCACAGCCCTGGGCTGATTAAAGCGTCATGATCTGCGTAGTTATCTTGACCACCGCGGGAGGTTCCCACGTGCCTGCTCACGATTGCACCGACAGTAAATTGCTTGTTCGAAGAAGAAAAAAAAGTGCTCAAAGTAATGATGCTCGCTGATGAAGACGAAAGAACGCATTTTCTAGCCCCCTTGTCATCCTCCTCCCTGCGTAGCTTTCAGTGCACTAACTGCTATGAAAGGAGACGGGAAGAGCTTGAAGGGTGCGACAAGTCCCTGCAACTCTGCTTGTAATTGAATGACGCTACAAAGTTCTTCCGCGGTCGATTCGTGAGACACTAAACTCTTTTTGATGAAGCGATTCAATGATTACTTGCACTCGTGTTGCAAAGCCCCTTTAATCATGAGTGGTAATATAGCGAACAGAAGCGGGGTGTCAAGCCAGTATTGACGATGACAAGGTTAAAAAAATATTTTGTAATCATGGAATTGTAAATCAGTCAAACGAATATCTTGAAGAACAGCTACATACAACTAAAGAAATGTAGCTTAGATTTTTTTTTAATATGAACACTTTAATATCTTATAACACCTGCTTATCATTAAGTAAATTAGCAATCTGCCATTCTAATAAGTTTATTGTGATACTTCTGAAGGCTCAGAACACCTTGTCTAATAATGTTTGTTTATTCTGTTTTGCACCACCTGATACCTGGATGTGCAAGCATTGATTTTTCGACTGCCGATTCCTTGGAGGATAAATTAAGTTTGGCTGTTGTTTCTCTTACTTGTGCAGGCCGAAAGTCGTGTGCCCAAACCACCAAAACCACCTGATAAACCCCTGATGCCTTACATGAGGTACAGTAGAAAGGTAAGAAAAATGGTAAGGATTACAGCCCCCTCAGGTTTATCATTTTTTGCTTCTTAACGTCAACAGTGCACCTTTGCCTTAAAAGAAGCAGTTTGCAACTCAGCCTTATGTTGTTTTCCTTCTTCTTCTCGAATGATTTTGATTTTCTCCACGATTGCCAGCGTCCTTTAAAGGGACACTAAAGAGGAACAATGATTTGGTTTAGATTAACAAAATGCACTGTGAGAACTCTAATGCCATATGTTTCACCATCATAAGTTCATTATTAGTGGGAAAAAATGAAAGCTTAAGTTTCATTTTTAATATTTGTGCTAAAATCTCAGTGCGTGACAGAAGAAAGTTCAAAATGTATTTTCGGTATTTTCGTGATGTAGGCTTGATGAAATTTTCTGGAACTTCGTACGCCATGGCTATAGCACCGAGAGATTACAATGCACTTCATTTTTATCGATTAGAAGCTACGTAGGACCCAGTAGACGCCTTCAAATTTTGTTTTGTCACAGTGTTTGGTGCGGAAATCTCCTGGTGGCGTCGCCACCCGCATTTTCTTTTCGCGCGTTTCCTCGCTTACTAAGCGTCTCATGGCGGTAAGAGTGGTGTTTTCGAGATTGTCAAATTTTGCTTTATTAAAAAGCGAAAAAAATTTTTTCTCCGTAGTGTCTCTTTAATGTGCCATCAGTTTGAAAGCTGGATTGTTAGTGTGGTGCTGTGTTCTATTGATAGACTTTGGAATCCTTATGAGAACGAGCATTGATTTATTTTATTTATTTATTCATCATACCTTACAGAGCCTAGTACGGCATCGAGTAAGGGGGACAAGTACAAAGTAAACACAGAAAAATACACCAGTAAATACATGGAAAGAAATAAAAAAAAGTTTACAGTGAATAAGTTAGAGAGAAAATGATGCACTGCAAAAATACACTGAAAAAACTGAAAAAGAAACCAAAAACATGCATGTATATGTACATATATAATATCTATACAGTGCAAAGCATGTTCAAACAGCATGTTACGAAACTTTTGTCAAGAAATGTGTGGCTCGTTAAAATTAAGAAGTGGTTCTTGAATTTTTTTTTATATAGAGACGTGTTCTTGCTGATTACATCAACTTTGATCAAAGGGTAGCTAAATATTTCTTTTAATAAGCTGCTTGGCTACAGCAGCTTATTACTTCTGCTTTGCAGAAGCATACTCTTGTTACTTTGGTGGCTCTTTAGCTGAATGACAGGAAACATTATGTGAGCTATGCTGTCCTAAGTCTTATAAGAAAATGCCGACATTGTAATGGTCAAACTTGAAGAGTGTTCACGCAACAGTTTATGCTTTGAAAGTGCTAACATAATGTTACCTTTGTGGCATGTTAGAAAAAAACTTGAGTGAAAAAGATGGAAATAATCGAAGAAATAGTTGTTAGAAAATTTGGCCCCTCTTGATGTCAACAAGATGCCTTGATGCCTTGCGTTTCGTTTTTCGGCGTCTTTCGTACTCGCATGCATATGCACGTTCCGTGAGTTGCAGACTTCTGATCGCGAGCTGAGCCTCTCACCATGTCTTCCGAAAAATGCCGAGCAAACTAGACTGTGAAATCTCATTTTTTTCGTTTTTGCAGTTTAGCAAATTATTAACATGCAAGAGCTTTATCCTTGGCAAAGCTTCCTTGTAAAGTCATAATGAAAACTTGTCAAAATTATTTATCTGCTGAATATATATATTTTTATCATGTAATGCCATATGTGCACAAAATGTAAACAAGAGAAAAATTGACTGTGGTGCGAGGTAGCTGCAAAGGCTTCTGGGAAAATGGGTGTAATACCTTCAGTGGCATTACCAATGGTACTACGTACTTTGTTGAAGTTAGCTCTACGATGCTATGTATCTACGAAACAAGTAATCTCAAAACTATCACGTTTGTTTGAGTAACAATGTATGATTGACCTCTCTCTCCATACATTTAATGTGTTTGCTCATTTCCCCAGCATCGACTTTGAGAACATGTTAGCATAAATATACCTAATGCTGTGAATAAACTTACAAAAGTAGAAATGTGCAGTCGCCATGGACTAAAACGTGAAACCGAAACTTGCAGCATAATGACAGGTGTTTACATTAACTTGAAATCACTGCGTCATGTCGTTATGAAACTGGCAGCTAAAAACATGGCTTATTCTATTGTAAGTGTTCAGAGGAAAATTTGTGCCAATATGATACATGAAGGGGAGGTGGAAGCAAATGTCTGTACATACAGTAGACTCTCAGTTAATGGAAATCTGTTAAATGGAACTGCTGCTCAAATGGAACAAGTGCTTCGGACAAGATTGGTTTTTTTGTGTCTATCCTGCGCCCTTTTTCATCTTCTCGCAAACGGAACTTTTGTTAAATAGAGCCTATTTTCCTGGCCCTTTCAGGTTCCGTTCAGTGAGAGTCTACTATATTATTATGACTGTAAAACACATCAACTGTGCATAATGCAGCCATGGGATGTATGTCATAGCAGTACATGTAATCTGTAGACTCAAACCCATGCACCTGCACATTATAATGCTACGTTTCTCGATGCAGCATGTGATGACATCTCAATAGCGTTGCAATGCACTGTAGGACTAGACATATGTGCATTCGCATAGTTGTGTTTTTGTATTGATGTCACTTGGCCTATGCTCCATTGATTGGCACAATTGGTTCTTTTCTACCATTGTATTCATGAGCTTTATTGCACTGAGTTGTGCTATTTGCTATTCTCATTGCAGACACATGCCTCCGATCATATTCAGGCTTTTTTTTTTTTTTCAAACCTTAGTAAAAACCCTACGACAGAGCTTGCTACAATTCAAAGGAACAAATTTATACAAGCTGTAATCTCATTTATAAACTATGAACTCAAGGCACATTATCAAGCTATTTGTTCCAAGAAAAAAAAGATGGGGCAGGGGTTGTATTTGTGCTAGTATATCAGTGCTCTATATTTGTGAAAGAATCCTGTAAACATGGAAAAGCTGTCAGTAAATCGAGATGAATCCATACCAACTCGCTCAAGTTGCAATTCTCAGTCAGCATTAAGTAGGCTAGTAGATTATATGAAGGTAATGTCTAGCACTGGTTTGCTTGCTAACTCTTAAGAAAATCGCTAGTGCTCACACACACAACTTGTCTTCAAGTTGGGCTTGTTCGTAAATGTGACATGCTTAATTGTGCAAGCACAGGTAACAGGCTTTACAATTTACCTAACTCTATTGTGGCAAAAAAAAAAGTAAGCAAAGTGCCATAGGTCATTTGCGTGGAGCGGTACAGGATCGTCTCGCCTGGCATAACCAGCATATTTTGTGTATCTGTTGCCTCACTGCTAACGAGATCACGTTTCGTGATACTCCTGCTTCCCAGAGGTTGCCTAATCGCTTTCCAAGCACCTCTCTTGTCGGTGCGATGATCTGAAAAGGGGGAGGCACAAGCTTCATTTACCTGTGACTTTTTTTAAGGTGTGGGATCAAGTGAAGGCTACGAACCCTGACCTGAAGTTGTGGGAAATCGGCAAAATAATCGGTCAGATGTGAAGAGAACTGCCAGACGAGGCAAAGCAAGGTACGTCGATGATTACGAAACCGAGAAGGTGGGCGCCTATGAACATCGTCGCTGTCATTTCGCATGGCTGCCCTCTCCTGACCCTCCCCCTCTCTGTCTGGCCCTGCTTTTGTGTTGTCAGCTGACTGCACCATTTTCCCTACCCTACCCATCGACACCCTCCATTTGTGTCTCACAACACATGCTTATTTCCCTGCCTTGCTTGGCTGCACCTCCTTTTTTTTTATTCATTTAGTGGGAGTGCAAGTTCACTGCAACTGGGCTGGGCTCCCCATGCTACACCATGGTTATGGTCATTGTCACCGTGTGCTGCACCCCATGATTGTTACAAAAATGGGGCTAGGAAAAGCATGGGCAAAATTGACTGTTCGTTTTAGTCGATGGCTGGGTTGGTTGAAAGGTTGTTCAACATTTGCCACAATGGCCGCTGATGCATACTCGCAAACATCCAAGAAACTTGAATGAAAGTTGGCCATTACAGTTGTGCTTTGCCCTTGTGATGCACAGAATGTAGTTTTGGCATCAACCTGTTGTATTTTCCTTTGCTTATTTCTTTTTTTATATTAAAGCTGAAACAAACTGTTAATTTCTTCCTGTGCTTTAGTGTGCTTCATGCAGTTGTCACTAACAAAGAAATTGAGTTCTTCATTTCCCTTTATTCTTCACATCTATAAGTGTGCTTCATGACACATTAACCTTTCATATTCTGATTCACCCCTGTGTAATAATGAGAGTGTCACATTGTTGGCGTCATGCTTTCGATGTGTGAAATGCCACTTTACTGCTGCTACTACTTCCAGATTTGAGTGTTAGAAGAGTTTACCTGTGCAGTCAGTTACAAGTCGAGAATGTGGTTTGGCTTTCCACGAAAACGGACTGCATCTGATTCCCGTTCCACCGTACATATGGAAATGGAAAACACTTCCTTGCATAGAGTGTTGATAACATGTGATTAATTGGAAATGAAAAGTGGGAGTTCACTGCAGTTAGTGTAGCCATGGAGAACAGGTGCAAAGAAACTATAGGTAACGACAGAAACATGCACACCTTTGACAAGGGACAACCTTCAAAGAATGTTGAAAAGGAGGGTATTTATTCTTCACTTGCCATGGGTGTACCTTTCCTTCCCAATAACTAACAAGTGTGTGTGGTACACTTTCTGTAGTCTAGAATGTGTACCGCACACGCAAAGATCGAGCTAATGCACACATGAACATGGGTATGTAGTGCAGCACAAACCAACGTGGGTGGGGTGCGAGTGGTCTATATCACTACAGCGTTTGACCGCACAAAAAGAGATCGACATAGAAAAGGAATGGCTCTGACACACTGGTGCATGTGCAACCATTTTTCTTTTTTTCACAATTGTCCATTGTCTTAGCAGTGTAGTTATAGTGTTTCACTGCTAAGCTCGGGGTCGTGGCGGTAAAATGCAAAAAAAAATTTGTGTGGTTTCATATATGTGCACATTTAATTACTCCGGATAGCTAAAGTTCAATCTGGATTTCTTCACCTACAGGTTGTCGCACAAAAATATTACAATACAAGATGTTTTTTTTTTTTTTTTTTTGACGGACACTGCCTGTTTCATTTTCGACTTGTTGCGGATTGCTCTTGCAATAATTACTGCCAAGATTCATGTGGAATAGTTTTTAATACTCAGTTAAAGTGCCAGTGAAACAAAGTATTTCAATTTTATCAACCATGCACGTGTCGTGACCATAACCAGAGGCTGCCATATCCAAAGCATTTTCACTATGAAGTATGAGGTAAGGTACCAAGATTTTTTTGAAAATCTAATTTCCTAAGAATGAAAGTAATCAAACTTCTTTATTTTTTCTGCTAAAATTTGTAGGGTAAGGACTGGTGGTACAAGTTGTGCTCTGTTCACATCTTATGCCCTCTGTCGTAGCACACCATTGATCTGCCCTCTCCTGCACTTGAATTAGCTTCGTGTACTTCCACACTTACTTCTCTTGCCTTTCCCATAATGCCAAATGAAAACCTGCTTGATGCATGACTACTTCAGCTTTATCGCACAGTATATGAACCCTCATTTTCTAGGTGAGTTGTGCCAATTTCCTCTGTCACTCTTGCAGATGGAGTACAATGAAGCACTCAAGTCTTATCACAGCTCCCCTGCATACCAGGCATGGGTGGCTGCCAAGGTTAGGGGTGAGTGTCTTGCAAAATCAGTGTTAACGTGTGTGCGACAGTCTGTGCTATGCAACATTCTATCATCAGTTGAAAGCCTTGTTCAGTTTGTGCGATTTAAGTATTTCATTGCGATTTGTTGTAGCTGTTAGTAGCGAACAAATGTGAAATATTGCTAGGCATTATTTACAATGGGAAGTGTGAATCTACGGGAAGTTTGCATGGTATTCTTCTGGAAACATGAGCCGGATATGTACTTGTTGTCTTCTCTATGTTAGCTGCTTTCAGGCAGAAACACTTTCACGCGTATGTCCTCTTCTTTCAGCCCAGCAAGCTGCCGAAGAACGGGAGGCCCTTGAAAGGAGTCCATCGGTTGTAAGTTCGGTCAGTGCTGCTTCTCTTATTCTCGTTTTTAATTTCATTTTCATTTCATATTTATTTAAAACCATCAGTACACATAAATGCCTAAAGAATCGGTGTGAAAGCAAAAAAAAAAGCCTGACAGAGTGACGATCACCGATGTACAGATGCATCCACTGTTAAAGGGAACACTTACCTGCTCAGCAAGTTTACATTTCTCTATCTTACAGAGACATAGTGGCTTTGATTTGCATAAGACTACTGGTGGTTGAAAGTTCTGACCCCTTTTGACAGATTAGTTACATGCATAGAGAATGTTTCCTTATCCACTTGCTGTTAGAAGGACAGCAATATTAATGGTCTTCATCCGAGTGTTCCCTTTAACAGTGGACTGTACTGTACACACATGTATAACTACTCATACATGACATAACAAGTATGAACATACTACGAGGAATTTAAAATTAAGCCAAAAGATGCAAGAATATATGCATAATTACGATTGACACACGGAAACAAAAAAAAAATTTTAAATGTACGCAAAATAGCTATGAAGAAAAAAATGGTAGGCACGTGCAGCATATGCGAACTACATAAGCATAAAGATATGAAGAATTGAAAGTGGTGTGGAAGTTTGTTTATATTTTTAGAAGAAAGGCATGTATCTTGTTGACGTAGACTTCTTGTAAGCATAGCTTTGTAACGGATAAACAGTCCATGCTTTAAAATTTTTGTGCCTGTAAGGTTATGTGTTATAAATCTATGTTCAAATTAATATTGGTTGTCATGCGGAAAAATTGGGCAGACACTTTCTTTTTCTTCATGACATTGCTAGGGATGACTCCTTCCTCATTTGATTCCTTATGCCTCTGCCTTCCTTTGCAGTCCCTTACGAGTTCTCAAAAAAGTGATGGCAAGGTTAGCATACAGCCGGCAGAAGATGAAGATGGTGAGCTTTCAAATGCAGATATTGCTTTTACGGAATCTCATAGTTTCTTTCTCTCTCTCCCTTGGTCATAAAATCTGAATGTCCACTTTGAAATCCTGAATGAAGTGAGGTGCACTTACAGTCTTAGCACGATGCTGCCACTGTTCTATTTCAGGCCCTTACATGTCGCTCGACCACATATTACTGTGAAATTTTTGACTTGAGACCATGCTTTGGCTTGTTAGCTTATATTTATGCTGCTCTAACTTAATATAATCTTTTGTAATGATACTCCAATGGGGTTCTAGAGATGTTTAAATACTTAAAACTGCCTTTGGAACTGCTCCTAACTAAAAGGCATTTAACTTGCAAATATGAGAAGCATCTTTTTAAACTAAGGTGTTGGAATATTTTCATAACATAAAGGGTGCACAGCATGGCATTTCAGGTGTTTGAGAAGACATTTTTGTGTTGGGTGAGATGTGAGCAGACTAAATTTGTTCTGTCTTATTATCAGGCTGTGTAACCCTTCGTCTTTCAATTTCTTTTTTTTTTTTTTTGCGTAACACCTGTGCACTGCATGACGCAAAAGCAACTGCATCGCGGATTTACTTTGTGCCATTTTGTGGTTTTTTTTTGTGTGTGTGTTTGTGTGTGTGCTGAACACATCCTTTATAGTTTTGCCTCGTCAGGTACAAAGGTAGGCTTGTAACGAGGGTGCAGCGGGCAAGAGGCGGTTTCTCGTTGCACGCTTGTTCCTCTTCACTATTGGCAAGAGCCTCAAGGCAGTGTATTTCTCACCAAGAATTCGTTGCTGCTGCTTTCCTTGGGCAAAATTTTCCGTAATTTTGGAGGCCAGCGCTTGTCAACTAGAAAGGCATTCTTAGTTTGGCGTTGTTGCTGCTGCTGATGCGTGACAGAGAAGTCTGTCTTTTATTTCACCCTGTGATTAGAAGTTTTCTTAGTTTTCTGGCTATTTCGTTTTGTTTCTCAAATAATGCTGTTTGAAAACTCTGCCCTTGCACTTTGCCCTTTCTGCATCCTCTTTAGTCTTAGTACCGTGTACACACTCAGTATTAACTATTGATGCCGAATGCATGCCCTAATGTCACACCACAAGTGTGAAAAGAACAAGCCTAAGGTGCCCATGCTGCCTATATAAATTAAAAAAGCAAACCTGTGTGCGTGTCGTCACTTATTTTTTTTTATAATGATATTTTTGCTTGGGAAAACTTTAGCTTTGTTTCCTCTTCATATACATTCTCTCTGTTTATTTTCTTGTATCGGATAAGTAGAAAACTGCATTTTTTTATTTAGTCTACAGAAGGATAGTATTAAGGTGCCTGCCGAGTTTCATTGTTATTCATCGGTTAAGAGACTTTCATACCAAGCTGCATGTGTGGCGTAGTTTCTGCATTTGCAGAGGAGCTACTTTCAAAAAGTTGCTATTAATGCAAGAATATTTTTTCATTGATACCATGGCCTTTGATAAGCCCAAGGGCTGGTATTTGTTGCAAAATGTCTAACTTCCCCATTAAATGTATTTTCAGGCATTGTTGTGCGTAATGTGGAGCAGTTTGACTCAAGAAGCCGTAAAAATTGTCAGTTTAGTGGTAATTTTTCTTTTTCATTTAAGAAACATAATGTTAAGTGTGGTCATACTTTTTCTCCTTTGTTTCCTCCAACTACTATGAATGCAAGGGTCACTTCATCATACACAGAACCTGCGTAATTTCAGCTCAGTATGATCCACGCCTCATTTTATTTCTACCATCATAATTCTATTGAGCCGCTATAATATGAAGTCTTGATATTGATTGATGGGCTCTTTTATGCCAATTTCATTTCGTAGCTCTACAACCTTGTTTACTTACAAAGGGCAGTAGGGGGAGTGCAGAGCCATCATCCATTTGTCTGTTTTGGTCTGTTCTTAGCACTGTAGAATTTAGGTTTTAAGCACTAGCGCAGAGACATGACTATAATGCATGTGTTCATTTCGGAACACACATGGCACATATTGAAATAAATTTTCATTTTTGACATTTGAAACAAGTAAGCATTATGCTTGCGTAACAGCAGCTGCATTTGTAAAGCTTCTTTTCTTTGTTATTTTTATGATAAAAGAGCAACAAGGTCAAATAAATGCAATAAGACAAAACAGATGGATTGTCTGTAATGAACTGGATAATGTCAAATTGAGGCTGGAGGTTGCTCAGAAATACAGAGAGTTAAAGGGCCAGCAAACAGGCTCAGACTTTTTTTTTACACCTCCTATACAAGCTCGGCAATTCGTAGATTAGACCGCAGCGATCCTGTTTTCTGAATATTACAGGGCTGCACCCCGTGCAAGGCCTCTATTTCGAAAAACGATTCCCGCGCATCTTTTCTACCCCTGACCGACCCTCTTGCATGTGCAGTGACATCAACTCGGCGATCGGCGACGTGACGTAGCGCGCAGCTCACCGATTGGTCTAAATCAGGTGTGAAAAAAGAGTAGGGAAGTCAACGTCGGTTCCTGTTCCCACCCACAGCTACGAAACTGCCCCTTGTTTCTTGGCACTGCGGTGAAAAAACCAGCCTCGCAGTTGTCGCGTGCACGTGTACTACAGCGCCTATGCCCACGTACGAATGTACTTCGCCCTTGACATGAGCAACATGGGTAAAAAGCGTTGCTCTGTCGTCAGTTGCAAATCAAGCGACTGGGCAGCAGAGAAGCATCGGCGCTGGGTGCCTCACGATGGGGCCCTGCGCGCTGCATGGCTGAAGCGAATCGGCCATCCAGCGACGTACGTCGGGGACCTAATTATTTGTGGTCGACACTTCGCACCTGACACTTACACGGTTGACCCGCGGCTGGTGCTGCAAACGGTAAACAAACAACCACTCTTCGCAGCAAGTGGAAGTGCGTTGCCGAAGTGGGCAGAGTCACGACGATGGGCTACGCCTTCCCCTTCATGGAAGGCAGAAGGGGGGTGAGGCTGCGCGAAAATTTGAAACCAGCTTAGACCGATGTTCTAACCCCTGTAACTTCCTTAAATAGCATGTATTCACAAAGAAAAACTGCACATATATCTATTTTTTTAAAAATTTTGGATCTCAGGGCTGTTTACTGGCCGTTTAAACAAATCAACTAGAGAACAAAAGAGGGTGAAGGCTCAGTCTGAGCAGCAGTGCATTGATTGGACGATTTTCTTTTGTCTCGCCGTAGGCAGTTCAGAGAGAAGACGAGTCTGCTTCTGAACATGTTGATATCGGAATGAGACTTACCCCCCTCTTGTTCATAATTCCGTAAATTGGCCTCTGTGACATTTACAAAAATGCTTGCTTAAGTGAAACGGTTTGGCATGTTGAAAGCCACATCTCAAAAGCCTGAACAAACCTCGGAATGCACGTCATCTGCGAAAAATGTTTTAACTACTTGTATTTGCAAGTCATACTTAATTAAGGTGGCTTAGTGGAAAAGATAACTTTAGCTGCACGGTTCATATTTACTGTACTCTGGGCCAGCTGAGTATATTGTCGCGAGAGCAATGTCTCGCGGAAAACCTTGTTCTTTTTCAGCTACAGCTGGAGCTTGTTCTTTGCCAGATGCCCTTGTTAGCAGCGCCGTTTAACTTGTCTCGGGGAGCGTGCCTTGAGGAAGAATGAATGAACAGAAAGGGCCGGGTCTGGTCGGTCACTGTGCGCTTCGCGCCAAGGCAGGCACCGCGCCGTGCTTTGGACCAGACCGCAGAAATTGGGTGCCTTTCTCCTTCTTCTAACCACTGAGCCCCCACGCTTCAAACGGACGAGCCGCCGCTTCGGTCCTCCGGGGACAAAGGGCACCTAAATTTGAGCAGTCGTTAGCGCGTCAAGGCCGTTTCGGAGAACGCGCTCGTTTCAGAAGCTGCCACAGTGTTGTCGCGAGACAGGCTTCAGGCAACCACATGTTGATTTGATTATCCTCGGCTTGCCTGGTTGGTCCGCACCACCGGGGACGCTAAAAAAAAACCTATTTAAGCAGCGACTCGGGCTTTTTTTGAGGAGAGCGAAGTCGGGGCGGGGGCAACAGCGGATCTCACCACCGGAGACCAGCCATGCAAGCCGAGGGGTATGCCACCATTTTCTATGTTTTGTCTTTGTGACCTAGTGCATTTTGTAAATTGAAGTTGCGTTAGGTAAATAAACCCCCAATGAGTGCTCCCCGAAATCATCGTGTTGACTTCTCATCGATTGCCTCCGCGGAGTTTCACCCACACTTATTCGTCTCCCTGGTCGTCCGATGCGCCTAACTTTGAACAACCCCGACGTTCAGCTACAAAGTGGTGGAGGTTGCTTGGTAACCATAGTCCCACTCTGCCCGAGTCAACAACAAATATCAGGAACCTACCTCTGACTGCTCTACTATGAGGGAACCCCCTACCTTTTTCTCTGCTATGTCTACCCCCCAAGCTAAACCATTCGTCGGACCACCAGTCTTTAGAGGCGCACCGGAGGAATCTATTTCCGAGTGGCTACTTTGCTACGAACATGTAGCGTCGCTTAATAATTGGGATCAAGCCACGAAGGTGAAATTTCTATGTCTGGCTTTAGACGGAGATGCGAAAAAGTGGCACACTACTCAAATTCTAACCGGTGCCCCTAATACATGAGAAGAATGGACGACGCTACTAAAAACGTCCTTTACGAGTCGCCACTCAGTCGAGATCGCCCATTTGCGGCTACAAAACCGCACCTAATTGCCGTCCGAAACCCCCGAGCAGTACTACTATGACGTCGTACAGCTGCGTGCAAGAGTGAACCCGTCCATGACAAAAGATGATCGGTTGCGGCACCTTATGCGCGGTTTGCGTCCGGATGTTCTGGAGAAGATGATAATCGCAAACCCGGAGAGCTGCACTGCATTCGTTCAAATTTTGCAACGCATAAATCTGGCAGCTTTGATGAGCCGTGCGTCGGGGCTACAACCGATTGGCATCCAGTATTCTACCGGATCGCAGTCGTGGATGCAAAACATCGCTCATCCCGTAGGGTTCCCACCC